AAACACTTATTTGGAGGGGGGGGGGTATTGTTTCGTGCTTTCCTGACAATGTGTCCTTTCGAGAATAAAATGTTGAGTGTGTGCGTATGTATGTGTGTTTGGGGTTTGTTTGTTTTTCTGTGTGTGCATGTGTGTTTCAGGGAGAGAGGGAAAGAGACGATAAGATGTGTATATTTGTATATTATTTTATTATTATCACACATCAGTAACGTAACTTTCTCTACATAAGTATTTTGTGTCTCTTTAGCTTGCGGAATCTAATTTCTTCTCACTAGGAATCGATATTCATGTTGTAGTCATTTTATCTCGCCTTATTTCCATATTCCTTGGCAAAAAGATTTCAGGTTACGCTACCTATAATAATTGTTTACGGGGTTTCCAAAGAAACTGTAAACCGACATACCGCTACCCCAGAAATACAAAGTTCTGTCTGATATTTTGGGCCGTTTTTGAGTTACTAAGAATATAAGGTCAGAAACTTAATGTTCTATGTTCTGTCCGCTTTGCTAAAATCTTAAGATTATTTGAAATCTTCCTCAAGATATTCAAAGAACTGCATTCGAAAAAGCTTGACATGTTGTGAAACTCAAAATCTTTGACGTCAAATATCTCAAAACTTGGTACTGAGTAGACAGAACTTAATTCTGAGGTAGCGATATGGCGAAGTTAGGCAAGTAACAGCAATGACTTCTTTGGCCAATTATAGTCCTATGGGACAGAAACGTCTTGGTAGTCTCTTGCCAGATTTTCCCCCATCTCAATCTCTTCTTCTTCTTCTCTTTCTTCTCTCTCTCTCTCTCTCTCTCTCTCTCTCTCTCTCTCTCTTAGTGTAAATGTCATAGTCCCTCCGCTGTTTGGCCTGGGCCAATTGCGAACACATTTCTTTTTTTTTTTTATCTCCCTTCGCTTTTAACATACTTCCTTTGTTTCTGTCTGAAGATATAATATACGAGTAGCTGGCTGCTGGTCGGAGTCGAGTCGTTAAGTCTATCTCTCTGTCTGCATGTCTGTCAGCATAGTTTGTGAGTCCGGCAGTGGGTATTTCATGTCCGTGGTTTCGCGCGTTCCTTTGTGGAGTACGTTCAACAAAGTCACGCTGACATTAACGGCGGAGCACGGTATCAATTGTCTACTTGTCACATTAAACAGCACAGCTTGGCGGAGACCTGGGTGTTCAGGGCGAAAGAGGTGAGGTGTGGCACGGTAAGCTATGGGTTAATGCCTCTTTCAGTACAGCAAGGCTATCTAAAATGGGATACTTTCAATCCTCTTTCAGTACAGCAAGGCTATCTAAAATGGGATACTTTCAATTCAACTCCTACTTCTGACAGGACTGAGCCATGTGGGATTAGCATAGTTTAAACAAAGTATTTTTGGTTTAAATAGGTGTATTTTAAAAATGTATGTGCGTTTTAGGTTCCCATCAACGCAGTTTACTCCACTTACGAGGAGTGCTTCAACCCTGCCTGTCAGGGCTAACACGGCCAGATCGAGAGGGATGGTGGGTGCATAGCTATACAGAGGTTTTTCAAACAACTCAAGCTCAAGACTAATCCAGATTGTGACAAAAAGTGGGTCTTACGCACCATAATGCATCAGTATGATATCGACTAGAATAACTGGACGTCACTCCAGCGGTGGAGCGTAGTGAAGACCTAAAGCCCCTCGCCCCTTTTCCCCCATAGCTTTCCTTAGCCTACGTAAATGAATGTTTCTTAATTAACGAATAAACAGAGGAAGCCGTTTAATCATATCCGTACGCCTTGGGGTCATTTTGTACCCCCGGCGTTGTATTCTTCATCTTTTAGAATGCTTCTAGTACGAAGATCTCTTTGAAACGTTCAGTATTTCTCAAAATATCATTTTAACAGACTGCTATGCAAAGCGTACGGATCGGATTAACGAGTAAATTTCCTCTTTAGAAAGTGATGGCACAGAGTTCCCCACGTCGTATGGATACGATAGTAAAACACGACGTACGGATAGGGTTAAACAGTTTTAGAATAGTCCACCTCTTTCAGTCACTCACTGTTGTCACCGCTTACATCGAGAGTAGCCTGACAGCCGATCAAATGCCTTTTGGGCCCAGCGAAGGATGAGCCTGTTCCCACTGTCTTTTCTTTCTGAAACTCTTTTTGTAAACAAAAAAAAAAGGTAAATATTTTTTTTTATAACTTGCAAAAAACTGTGGTGCTGACGGCTCATGATCTGCAAGCACTGGCAAAGAGGTAAAAGTTCATGACACTTCCAACACAAAACCAGTAACCAACATGCTCATTAGACCCTCTTTAGGGATGCCTTGTTTTCTGCAAATACACACTCACAGACACAGACACAAACATACACTCTCA